TTTGAATACTGCTACTTGGTACCCTAGAAAGTCCCTAAGAACTAACGCTGAGTCACTGTTTTGTCTCGAAGTACTAAATTGAAAAATTTTTTTATCACCATTCTTGACCCTAGGTCCATTGATGCCCTATATGTGCACAGTGGTTTCGATCCCTGTAAAAAGGACCAACTCTTATGGGAAGAATCAGGGCAGATTGAAATTGTGCCAAATACACAAGACATCCGCTCATTAATGTATGCATCCAACCACCAGTGTCTATTGTCCACCCATTATCGCAACGAATGAGTGTGGCTGTAGGTGCATCCCTGTGCAATCTCAACTTTGTAGACCCGGCTTAGCTCGAACTCTCCTTGAGGCAATAAACAATAGCTGAAGTGTATTAAGTGTCATGAAGAGGACAGGAACGACGCACTATCCTCTCATTCTCCCATTCTGGAACGAAATATGAGGTTGCCTTGTACAATCATAACTTCACAGTAGGCAGTGTAAGCTCCTTGCCACATTATTCTGACCAGTTCTTCCTCACTGAAAATTTTTTTTCAAATCCACCTTTCACAAAGGTTAAAAACCTAATGTTTCAGTTTGCAAAATAGAAAGTGTCATTGACATCAAAACCACCTCTAAACCAAGTTGTCTTAAAGTTAATGCCAAAAGACAACCTCTAGATGCTTAGAATTGCTATCTCAAAGAGGTTTTCATTACTAATATCACATTACTTCAGCTCTGTAGGTGTTTACCCACGGCTTACCATCCTGAGGCTAGAACGATTTAGAACAAGTGCTCATTACATACAGGAAACATATCCTTGATGTATCTGTTTAGCTAAGGTGTGCTTGCTTAACTTTCCATAATTCGCCCAAAACTGCCCTAATTTAGGCTAACAAATAGGCTAGATTGAGCTTAATGAGAGGCTTGCTCGTAATAGTTGGTTTCGCGTAAAAGGACTGCCAATTTGCATTTAAAATATCAATTAGAAGAAAAAACCTAAGTAGGCAGGCTGCAGTACCATTCAAACTAAGCTAGTAACTTCTGCAAGGCTGTACAGCTTTTAAAGGAAAGAAGGATAAGGGAGGACTTATTTCCAACACTATCGGGATGGCCACACCATGCCTGCCTCCGTTCGCTTTTTTGCCGATAATTCTTTAGGGGTCTACTACTAATTCAGTCCAAAAAAACCTCACTGCACAATTTATAGAGCAAAAAGCCAATTCCGTTATCACTTTACTGATATTTAAGGGCTAAGAATTTCTGTTGATCCGAAGAAAAGGTCTTCATTTTCCGCCTTGAGTCTCCTTTCAAGTAGTAAAATGGTACCCTAGTTCAGAAGCGGAGGCATTTGCCACCCACAGACGTGCTGAGGGACTGCAGGCCTGGTAGAAATGGGGGCCAAAGAGGACTGGAGAGTCTGTGTGGTTAACTATACGTGCAAAATAGTACTTCTGTCACATAATATTATGTTCTTCCGAAACCTCAGACTCCATTCATGGACTGACAATCGCAATGCACCATACAACTAATTCTCCTTTTCGATCCTATTAAGTTCTAGTACCTGTACCAACTGCCATCAACCTCAGAAAAAGGGAAACCCACTCCCAGTGCATGGACTGACCTGAGAAATTTGAGCAGTCTTTGGGTGTCCGTCTCTGGTGTTTCAATTAGCGTGGCCTCTCACCTAGCACATTCACCAGACTCGATGCCAACTCGCCACCTGTAAGTGTGAAGATTATAAAGTTATTCGACAAAAGCCACAATTTGCGCGCATTCCGCCTTTGAGAAGTTGGCAGAGTTGCCTCTAATTGTGGCCCAGTGGAACAGTAGAATCAAGTATGCTGCTCAGTTGAAATACTACCTTAAAACGGAAGCCCAGAAATGAAGATGAGGGGAAAATAGGGGAGATAAATTGATATATATATGATCAAGTATGCAACAAGTGGAGTGTATTCACGTCGTATTCAAAATAAAACCTCTAAGAGGACGTTAAGGATTGCGACTTTGGTTAATTCCCCGTTTCTTTACCTCTGCTTGCGAGTTAGGTGTCAACAAACCAGTCCAGAAGGACTGGCTTTGCTTGAAGGCACGTTGTTCTCTACATGAACCACTGCGCCTTCAGCTGGGTTGCAGATAGTTTTACGGGTAAATGAAAAAAAGTGAAGAAAAAGGAAGCCATTTTGGCGAAAGAGAAACTGTTGCACAAGTGCCCACAAAGGACCTACGAGAATCAAAAAAGAACTCAAGGCAACGCTTAACCAGTGT